AGACAGAGGGGAACGATGGGACAGACAGAGGGGAACGATGGGACAGACAGAGGGGAACGATGGGACAGACAGAGGGGAACGATGGGACAGATAGAGGGGAACGATGGGACAGCCTCCCTGGTACAACAAGGGCCAGACAGAGGGGAACGATGGGACAGCCTCCGTGGTCTCTGCGACCAGGGGCTGAGAGAAGGCTCCGGTGTACTATCGATCTCCATAACCTGCCATAACCAGGGCCTAGACACGTCACCCCACACTGGCAGACTGACGTCACCACACACTGGCAGACTGACGTCACCACACACTGGCAGACTGACGTCACCACAAACTGGCAGACTGACGTCACCACACACTACTGGCAGACTGACGTCACCACAAACTGGCAGACTGACGTCACCACACACTGGCAGACTGACGTCACCACACACTGGCCTTGCGTGTCTTTTTCCCCTGTACTTTAAAGATCAAGATGCTCTCCTCCTCCTCCTCCTTCTTCTCCTTCTCCTCCTCCTCCTTCTTCTCCTTCTCCTCCTTCTTCTCCTTCTCCTCCTCCTTCTCCTTCTTCTCCTCCTTCTCCTCCTCCTCCTTCTTCTTCTCCTCCTCCTCCTCCTTCTTCTCCTTCTCCTCCTCCTTCTCCTTCTTCTCCTCCTCCTTCTTCTTCTTCTCCTCCTTCTCCTCCTCCTCCTTCTTCTCCTCCTTCTTCTCCTCCTCCTCCTCCTTCTCCTCCTTCTTCTCCTCCTTCTTCTCCTCCTTCTTCTCCTCCTTCTTCTCCTCCTTCTTCTCCTCCTCCTCCTCCAGTAGTTCAGATCCATTTGAATTGTTGCACAACTTCTCCGTTCACACACCAAAGTCTTGGCCAGTCGTAAGACTAAGCCAAAGCCAGACACCGGGCGTGACGTGGACAGCACAAACAAAAACATAGAACAGGGAGAGGAAGAGGCGGGAAGTTACAAGCACAGTGTATGGTGACCAACAATTGCACAACACAGGAGACTCCGCTGATAGGTGACCAACAATTGTACAACACAGGAGACTCCGCTGATAGGTGACCAACAATTGTACAACACAGGAGACTCCGCTGATAGATGACCAACAATTGTACAACACAGGAGACTCCGCCGATGACCAACTCAGCAGGAGGCATGACCACAGACAACATTATGACGGAGTGTGTATGAAAGAAAGA